TACACAGAATCTCAAACCTTGTTTGATTTTCTAACTCTTCTAGGAGGCAGGACTTATAAATATAAAACCATATTTGCCTTAAACACACACACACAAAACCTCTCTTTTCTCTTCCTTTCTCCATCCTGTTCTTTGTTTTTGTTTTAAAAACAGGGTCTCATGTAGCTCAGGGTGGCATTGAATTCACTAGGTAGCCAAGGATGACCTTAGAATTGTTGATCCTTGTAGAATGATTTAATTATTCTGTGTATATTAATTAAATGCAGGAGATTAATATGCCTACCTCTCTTCTGCCCAGTCACGGGCTTCCACATCTTTATTAACTGATCAGGACTAACTGGTGAGCATTCCTTACATCACACAGACACAGGAGATGGTGCAACACACATAACCATGCCCACGACAGGGCTGTAACCAGATCTCAGGGCCCTGAAATCAGATTCCGAGGACTCAGCGCACAAGACCCTCCCCAACAGATCCCCTACGTTACATTAGTTTTCTATTGCTGCACAACAGATTTCCGCAAGCGTGGCGGTGTAAAAACACATATTTGATTCTTAGTATCTCGCTACAATGACTGTGGTTTGAGGCTCCAGAAAGAAGCTGCTTCCAAGCTCATTCACTTTGTTAAAAAAAAATCAGTTCCTAAGAGGTGCAGGAATGAGCTCATGTGTCCCGGCCTTCACCTAGCACCCCCACAGCTCTCTTCTGGTCCCGTCTGTGTGGCGCTTCCGCGCTGAAAGCCGTACTGCACACATTTCTTCTTGTGCTTAGTCCTTCTCTGCTCCCCCGCAAACCAGGCGCTCCTCTGCCCGGCCCCTGTTGGAGGAGGGCTCAGGGTTATAGGAAGACCAGCATATAATTTCATTCTCTGTATTTCATCATTGGAGGAGTGCCATCTTGTGTAAACAGGTTTCACTCATATTTTAGAAGGAGGGTCTTATCAAAGTTAGGCCAATATTTTTCAGAAAATCAAAATCACCATGATCTCTGAGAATGACAGGATACCAGACCCTGAGGGCAGAAATAACTGAAATCTCGAACACTGGGAGTCAAGCAACAGGCCTTTACCTAAGCTATGGTCCTGAGACAGTCACAGCAAAAGAGAAAGAAGGTCCTTGAAGGGACCAGAAACAGAACCACATCCCCCAACATGTGGGGGCGTGGTGAAGTGACATTTCAAGGTAAACGTAGCGTCTAATGACTCAGAAAAGAAAGGTCCCAGGAGAAAGCAAATTAAACCCCTAACAGAGGAAAATAATCGAAAGGACATTGATTAAAAACATAAAAATATTAAATAAAAAAATTAAAAAAGTGCAAAACAGTAAAAGAAAAAGTTGATTCCTAGAAAAAAAAATTAAAAATCTTAGCAAGTAAGTGAGTGATGTTGCCATTAGCCCAGCAGGGTGAAGAGGCTGCTGAGAGGTGGTGTTAAGAAAAATTAGACATTTTAATTGAAATATAGCTGATATTCTCAGAAAAACACAAACTAAGCTCTTTTGAGGAGAAACAGAAAGTCAGGACAGAGCAAGTGAAGAGGCTGAATCACTGCCGGATGTTTTGCCATGAAGAAGCCTGGGCCCTGGTGGCTTTACTGGTGAATCCTGTCAGAGTTCTGAAGAAGAAATAATAATAAATGTTAGCAAGTGTTTTCAGAAAAAGAGGAGGAGACACAGATTTGCTGGTTCTGTGAGACCAAAGACACCGGAAGACAGTGTGTGAACACAAACAAAACATTCCTTTAAAGTACCGGCAAGTCGAATCCAGCAACATCTAGAAAGTATCAAGCTGGATATATCCAAGGAGCACACGGTTTGTTTAGCATTTGGAATTAATGCTACACACCATCAGTTAGGCAAAGACCACATGGCTGTGTGAATACATGCAGAAAAACCATCCTGCCAAATGCAAAATCAGGGCGAAACTTGCAACAAACCATAAAATTCCTCAACCAGAGAAGAGGCCTCTGTGGAAAGAAACATCACGTAATAGTGGCAACTACAGGTATGTGTAAGAGAAAAAGGGAAACCAGTTCTATGTTCTATACAGACAAAAGGTGCGGTGGCGAAAAACAACAAACTCACATGTACACACACCCACAACGTGTGCACACACATGCCCATATACCACACACACACACACACACACACACACACACACACACACACGGAACGCATGTGCACGAGCACACTCAGGCAGGCACACGTGCCCAGGCACACACCTGGAGCACAAATGCACGATCACAGCATCAATTCACACCTGTGATAAAGAGAGTTCAGTGTCAGCTGATGCTGGAGGGTGAGGAAGGAAGGCCATTCCAATGAAGAAGTATGTCTGTGAACTGGGATGAAGCCAGGATTTACAAATGCATTAGAAAAGTTAGAAGTGTGTTAATGTGCAAAATGACTACTTGAAAATGCAGAAGAAAATCAATCATAACTGGAAGTAGTCGCTGTAGGTGGATAAGCAGTTTCTGCGGCTTTAAAAATACTTATTTTTTAAACTTTTTTTTTGTAACTGATGAGAAGTGAGGCAACCTTGTTAAACACATCACTTTGAGGGTCAAGAAGAGACCTGTGATTCTTCTGCCGGGTTTTCACATCTTGATCTAGTTCTTTGCGCCTCCCGGTTTTCATCTAACAACTTCTTCAAATAGTCGCCACTCCACTGTTTGTGAGATCGGAATCAGAGACTGTAGCACAAGCTGGCAAGCTACATCTTGTCGTGTTGAATCGAGTCTCTAATTAAAGCTTCTTGCACGCCCATAAAAGACCCAACATTTAAAGAGCAGTGTGAGGTAAAGCAAGCCTGTGGGCTGATGAAGAAAGGGGTTCTTCATCAAGCTAAGAAAATTTGATTAAAGGCCAAGTAAAGCAGTAACACCTGAATTTGTGGCTAAATATTTTAGACATTGCTCAAGCACAACCATATCATGTTAACTAATGCACAGAAGGTGTGGGGCTGAAGACGGGTAATCCGTTGTCAGCAGCCTCCAGGGAAGCCCCGCAGATGAGTAAGTGACATGTGGATGGTATTATGGGTTTACCTAGGAAGAGAACTGAAGAGACTTCATTTAAATCACTTTATAATTTTGACTCACTTCAGTGTTTTGTTTTGGTCAGAATGTGAGTTACTGGCAGCAGCATGAACACCCCATTTTCATTCATTCTTTCTTTTTTTTCCTTAAGATTTATTATGTATACAGGATTCTGCCTGCATGTACACCTGTACATCAGAAGAGGGCACCAGATCTCATTATAGATGGTTTTGAGTCACCATGTGGTTGCTGAGAATTGAACTTAGGACCTTTGGAAGGGCAGCCAGTGCTCTCAACCTCTGAGCCATCTCTCCAGCTGGAACACCCCATTTTCAAGGGCTTACGTGCTGTGGCCACTGTCATGCGTTGCCCTTTAGGGTCCAAGCTTGACCATTGGACTTCCCTTGGGAGGCCATTAGAGTGATGCTTCTTCTCCTTTGTTGGCCACAGTGACAGCTCCCAGAGGCCAAAGGTCGTGGTCTTTCAGCAAAAGAGCAAGTTGTGCAAGTCCTACTTAGAAGCTCTTGCTCAATGTGTGTCTAAAGTAGAATTTCCCTGGCAGGGCTGCCGAGGTGGCTCAGCAGCTGGGGTGCCTGCTGCCAGGATTACTGACCAGGGCTCTAGCCTAGTGCCCATGTGGTGGAGGGACAGAGGGACAGAGCTATCTCTCCTGTAAGTTGTTCTCTGACTCTACATGGAAGTTGTGACACACACACACACACACACACACACACACACACACACACGAAAAGAAAAGAAAGACAGAAAAAAAGAAACAGAAGGAAAAACCTTCCATGTCTAAATGACACTGCCCTTTCATGATCTTGAGTCAGAGTGATGGCAGGAGGGGCCTGGAGGAGCAAAGGCCAGTCTGGAGACTTTCCCGTTCGTACCACTGCCCAGTGCTAAAGCATTAGATTAACTGAGAGTGCAAGTCCACCTTTCTTCGGATGAGCTTGTTATGACCGGAGCACCCCTTCCCGTTCGCCCTGCTTCCCAGCCATCATCAGGCACGCACAGTGGCTTCTGGGATGGAGAAACAAAGCAAAAAGACTTGCTGTTTCCTCATCCACGGAGATGCTGCAGCCCTTCAGATTACTTGGTGCAGTCAGTTGAGCCAGGCCTGGACATGAGAGAAGCTCATTTTGCTGTGTCTTTCTTTGCTGGAGACCTTCTTAAGGGGTAAGGGAACACAGAAGCAAAAGCAGGCGAGAGAGAGCTGGCACCTGGCTTCTTGGCACTCCCTTGCAGGCACTCTGGAGGACCAGCCCTCATGGCTCAGCACCCTTTCAGCAGTGAGAGCTGGGAGTCCCCTCTCTCTCGTCCTGCCCCCACTAAGGTCAGATCCTCAGCCATCTTGGAGCAGACCAGGAACAGCCAAGTTATTTCCTGACGTGTACTTCAAATCAAGGCCTGATGTGTACTGTTTTGGAGGCTGCCTGCCTGTTGCCAGTGTCTTCTGCTGCCTCTGGAGGGAAGCCTGCAGTCAGGTGCTGGGCTTGGTTCCTTTCTGTTCAAGTAATAATAACATCCACAGAAAATGTTCAGATGGATTCCCAGAGAGAAGAGACAGTAAAGGAAAATATATATGTGCTATGCGTATGCATGTTTGTGCATATGTGTATTCGTTTTGCTGTCTCTCATAGCTTGGGGTGAACCATTTAGGGAGAAGGGCCTGTGTCTCCTGGCCTGCTCTCAGATACCCTAGGAAGGCTGGGGCTGGCGCGGCTAAGCCCTGCCGCTGTCCATCGTCCTGCCGCTCTCTCCTCTGACATTCCTGCTCTCCTTCGCTCGGGCGGGGCCGCGACGCCCTCCAGCAGTCCCGGCGCCAGCCTGCAGGTGCGCCCGGCCAGCCCCGCCCCGCCCCGCCCCGCCCCGCCCGCGCCAGGCCCCGCCCCCACAGAGACCCCACCCCATCGCTTTCGTCACGGTGACGTCAGGCCGGCGCAGGCGCAGCGCGGCCGCACCCCCCGGCCGCCCGCTCGGTATTATGATTAGCGCTGGGTGCGGGGTTCCGGCGGCCGGGAGGGAGTTGTCGACGCCGCGGCCGCTGCGGACGGACGCCCGCCTGCCGGCTGAGGTAGGGCGAGCGCGGCGCGCCGGGCGGGAGCGTGGGCCGGGCCCGCGCTGCTCCCCGGCGGCCGCCTCAGCGGGGCTGGGCGGGCGCCGCCGCGGGCGGAAAGTAAGTT